TAATTATACTAATATATTTTGTCTTCAGATGTGCCAGTAAACTGAGACCTGTTGGAACAAAAGCAATGGCAGAAATTTGGGATTGCTTGACACATGGTAGATCTTCTTATACTTGTAAAATAATACTCTGCATTCTACCAATGAATACCAATATACCATTTATATTATACTTTTTTTATTATGTAGACAATCTTTCTATTAAACAGCCACTGTTCCTGTCTGTCTGTCATGGGATTGTCAACTTTCACATACACGTGAATATACGTATATAAACATATGCGTGTGCATTGTATTTGTATTGCAAGGGTTGGAAGGGCTTCTGGAAGGTTGATTTGACTGGGATGGGTTCCAGAGGCTTCAAGGTTTGATCTTAAGCCACTGGCATGCGAAAATGGATATTCAACCGTGTGCAGTTGCTACTGCCATCGCCTATTATATCAACAAGTATGTTGCTAAATGCGAACCCACAAGTCTTGAAAGAAACCTCAGAGACACTATTGCTCAAATCAGATAGGAGGAAAGCAATATTTCTAGAAAGTTGTTTAAAATATATATGGCAACATTAAATCAATGCCACGTCTCCGTCTGTGAGTGTGCTTTCCGTCTCTGTGGCCTGCCTATCAAAGAGAGCACAAGAAGAGTCATTTATGTTAACACAAGAAAGCTTGGCCTTTGATACAAAGTTGTCAGAGTACAAAATAAAGAGGTTCAAAACTCTAAGGAAGCCCCAGAGGAAGATGAACAAGGAGCAGAAAATCCACCAGAACAAGATCCAGAGGAAGAAGCTACAGGTAACAATAATTTCTGCAAACAAATATTTGATCGCTGTTGATGAACTTTTTGGAGGCTTGAACATCTTGCTCTTTGGTGATCTCCTTCAACTTCCACCAGTATCAGACAGTCCCATTTATAAGCAACCTGTTTCAATGATGCCCGCTGTGCAGCTCTGATGCCTCTTTAGCTTTTGTGAATTGACTGAAATCATGTGACAGCGAGGGGATACATTTATCAAAATTTTAAATAATCTTTGAGAGGAAAAACTCACATGAGAACAACTAAATATTTTACTGCGTAAATGTGAGGAAAGCAAACAACAAGGGGACTTTTCACTTGGAAAAGCTTTGAGAATTATGCCAACTTGTAAAATGGTAGATGACCACAATCATCAAGTTTTGTCCACTTTAGACAATGCGAACCTCCAAATATTTACAATCACAGTGCAAGATACCCTCAAAGCGCAGAAAAGACGAGTGCCTACATTTTATCAAGCTATCCCAGCAAAGATCAATCGAATGACAGGCATTCCAAAGACAACCGTAATACATCTGGGTGCTAAAGTTATGCTTTGGTACAATGTTGACCAAGAAAAAGGCATGGTAAACAACAAAATTGGCACCATCACCAATATCACTTCCGCTGCAACCAAATTCACGAAACTGATAACCCTAAAGTTGAAATTTAATTTGAAGGCGATGTCGCAAAGCACATCGAGCCAATAACATGACAATTTCAAGCGAATTTTGGATGTGGCATAGTGGAGCGGCGAATGCTTCCAACCATCCATGCTCATGTAGTCATCATCCACAAACTACAAGGGACCATGGTGGATAGAGCAGTTGTAAACCTTGGCTCTCAATAATTTGTGCTAGCTCAACTTAAATATGGCTAAATATGATTCCAGGTAGTTGCTAACGGTTAGCTATCCAATCTTTCTCCTACATTGCTAGCTTAAAACTTTATTTGTGACTTTTTGGTACACTTTTTTAAAATTATTTTTAGTCTTTTAGTGCGCTTTTAGGAAGACTAGTATCAGAGGAGTAGCCGTGTTAGTCTGAATCTGCAAAAGCAGCGAGGAGTCCTGTGGCACCTTATAGACTAACTGAAGTGTTGGAGCATAAGCTTTCGTGGGCAAAGACATGCATCTGACGAAGTGGGTATGTGCCCACGAAAGCTTATGCTACAACACTTCAGTTAGTCTATAAGGTGCCACAGGACTCCTCGCCGCTTTTTTAAGGAAGACTGTCTTTTTAAAAAGCTTTTTATATATGTATTTTTTTATTAACCAATTGACTTCAAAGTACTTTACAAAGTTAGGTAAATATCAATTCCATTTTTTCTTGAGAGGGAAATGGCAGCACAGAGATAAAATGACTTGCCAATGATTACCTGACAAGTCAATATATGAGCTCAAAATACAACTCAGATCTCGACTCCCACCCCTCTGTTCCACCCACTGGATGACAGCACCTCTCTACAGACTTTTCTTTTTAGACCTCTGTTTGGTTATTGTGACGAGGCAGCATCGCCCCGCACCGTGAACCCCACCGAGCAGGCGCTGCTTGGCATCCGGGCAGAAGCAGCCCGGCGCTGTGTGCCGTGCTCGCATGCCGCGCCGGGGCTGATGTAGCCGGCTGATGCG